AGTACAAGTTGTCATGTCCAAAACGAGCTTTACAACGTCGGTGCGGGGGAGGGGGGTTGGGGGGGGAAGGGGGTGGGAGGGAGGGGGGAAGGAGAAGGATTGGGATGGGGGGAGGGGGGAGGCTGGGAAGGGTAAACAAAGGAGGAGGCTGCAATGCTTGGTAAGAAATGTACGTATTATCCTGCCCATGCAATTGTAACCTCTCTGTACAGTATGTTCACAAATAAAATAAAATTAAATTTAAAAAAATGGCTTGACTCAGACAAACTCAAAACAGGACTGGTAGGCTTTTCTTAAGCTTGGAAGGCTGGGACATCACTTTCAACCGGTTGAACCACAGGATTATGTCTGGCTCTTTTTTGTGGATGGCAGATAAACTAGGAGGGAGAGACATTAGCTATGCATAGATTACAAACTGACCCAAATAGATGATATAGTCACTCTAGCACCACAATAGGAGACTTGAGGAAGGGAGAACTCTTCTGGGGAAGAAATTTCCTGGAGGTACCTATCGTACTAGCAGATGGAAAGGAGAAATGGTGGAAAGGACTTTCTAGGAAGAATGGATGGACTTATTATATTTTGACACCATGATCACAGGGAAAAGCACGGTAATATAGACAGCTAAAATGTATCAATAGATCTATCAAATGCATATAAATAGATGATATTATGGGAATTACTGTAGGGTGTCAACTTCGCTGGGGCTTGAGCTCAGGGCTACAGTGCTCTGCCTTAGCTTTTCCCTCTAGACTGGTGCATTGCCACTTGAGCTGTACCTCCACTTCTAGCTTTTTGGTGGTTAATTGGACTTCCATCCTCAGATCTCAGCATCCTGCTAGGATCAGAGGAGTGAGCCACCAGAACCCAGCAAACACTTCTTAGAAAACACACACACACACACACACACACACACACACACACCGAAAAAACAAAACTATATTTGCATGCTGAATATGTGGGTGGTATGTTAATCAGCTTTCAGCTTTCCATTGTGGTAGCAAACACAGGAGGTACAATCAACTTAACAAAGGGCAAAGTTTATCAGCTCACAGTTTAAGAACTTTCAGCCCTTGATCAGTTGCTTTGGGCCAGTGTCAAGGTAGCACATCATTAAAGAAGCACGGGGCTGAGCAAACCTGGGTATCTCAGCCAGGGTGTGAGCAACAAAGAAAGAGAAAGAAACTGCAATCCCCTCCCAATGGGAAAACCTCCCATTAGGTTTCACCTTTCACCACCTACCACCTCCCCAAAGGGCCCAAACTGGAGACCAAGTCTCCACCCAACATGGTTGGCTTCAAAAAACATTCCAGATGTATATGAATATAGCAAGAGGTAAGAAAAAGAAAGAAAGGACTTTATGTCAACTAATCAAGCCTTAAGAATAAAACATACTGGTAGCTATTGTTTCTATTCATTCCCGAGGCTTCTAATTGCTATCTTATGGAGTCTGGTTGAAAAGGAAGGGAGAGGGAAGAGGAGGATGCAAATACAGGCGATTTTTCAGGAATGCCAGTCGTGGGAAGTTGGAATCCTACTCTAACTACTTTCCTTTATTGTTCCAAAGGTGACCCTGGTCCGTGGTGCTCTAAAGGAGCTGAGGAGGACAAGCAGTTTTAAGGTAGCACAAAGGAAGGCAACTTAATACCTCCCTAAGGAGGAGAGGGAGAGGGCGGTGCTTGTGGAGAGGAGGATAATGGCAATAATAACAATAAAAAGGAGTGCAAAGGAAGAGTGGGAAAGGAGTTCTGAAAACTGGGGATGAGGTGGGAAGAAGAGGTGGAGGTAACCCTTCCTTACAGGTGCTGGAGAATGATCTGTAAGGGAGGCCCTGGAGCTGGGAGGCCAGATGCAAGAACAGATCCAGGGAGCTCCCAGGCACCAGGTTGCATCATCAGGATCACTGAGACTCTAATCCTCAGGGGAAGTCATGTCTTTCTCCCCCATCCCCCCTTACTAGATGTTTTGAAGCAGAGCTGGAATGGGGGTTGTGGAAGAGAGTGAAAGAGGAGGGGAAAATCACTGAGAAAAATTAAGCAGTCTAAAAGGAGGGTAAGATTATGAAGATAAATGTTTACCTCTCCGCTGCATTGTGTCTCCTGAAATGAAACTGTTTTTGAATGGTGCTGCACAGGTACTGCAAGAATGTGGGCATTGTGAACAAATTGACTGTCTCAGATGATTTGACACATTTTGATTTCTGCTTAGGAAAATATCTGTTAATCCTATTAGAAAGAGAAGGAGAGGGTCCTGAACAGGAATGCAAAAGATCAAATCCTTTCCCATCCTGGGCGCACTCTCCCAGCGCCAAGGTATTAAAATCTCAGCTATTTCCCAAAGACCTCTGCCATTTCACTGACCTGCTTGACATTACATCAAAATTTCCCTCTTCTCCACCTCCTCATCTTTCCTTGATACTGGCTAAAATCAAGACAACGACTCTGTCGAAAGCCAAAGTGAGGGAAAAATACATCTTCTTTTAATGTTTTCCTTTTAACATAATTTCCTTCTTTTCCTCCATTCTTCTTCCTATTCTTTTCTTCTTTCTCTTGTTCTCCCTTCCTTTCTTCTTTATGTGGTTTTCTGTTTGCTAATACCCAACTCCAGACCATTCTTTGTGTTTGGCAGAGAAAGCAGTTTTATTGTTTGGCAACTCCAGGGGGGATATGGTGTCTATGATGTTGTCTAGGCTCAATGTCCCCCAGGAAGGTTAACTACGTTCACCCTACTCTCAAAGGGGAAAGGATGTCAACTGCACACTTGCGCACCAGCCACTGACTTTAAGAAAAAGTGGATCTGTTGCTTCACAGAAACATGATTTTTTTCCCTCACACATTAGTTAGTATACCTCAATGTTGGAATCTAACTTTTTGAGACCAGGACAACAGGCCAAGTTATCTAGATCTGTAGACTACAAATTAGGAATAAAGGGAACAGAAGATATTTTTCCCCTAAGCACTTGCTCAAAAAGGTTCTTGCAGCAGCACCTAAGTCTGATCAAAAGGTCTGTTCATCTGTCTTAAAAGCCAATCCTGGGGGCCCAGCATGGAGCTAAAATTATGCACTCAGAGTCCTAGAAAATTGTATTCATTAAACTCTACCTACAGGTCCTCACCCAGAATCTGCTCCATGCCAAAGCAGCGTGCTGCTGTTAATCCCCCTTTATAGATTAGCGAGTAAAATACAGAGGGTGGGGCTGAAATGCAGGGGAAGTCTGCACACTTGTTTGGAAAAGAAGAAAAGGAAAGCACAGGGATTTCTTGTTCTCCCCTTCATGTTCTGAGTTGCCAGAATTGTCCAGACACCACTGGGAGACACAGGGCTCTTTAGCGTTCACAGTATTTTCACTTCCACAGGGTGAGTGTTACATGCAAAATGGGAATTTACAGACAAGATCAAATAAATGTCTTTCAAACAGTGGCACATTGTTATTTCCATATTTCTCCTTTCTTTGTGTGTTAAAGAGGAAATAATAATAATAATCACAGCTGACATTACTGAGCACTTATGGGCCAAACAAGTGGGGTGTTTTTGGTGTAATCTCATTTCATTCACTAAAATCCCTGCAAGGTAGCTACTCAGGTTACCATTGTTTTACAGAGGATGACACTACAGTTTTTAGGAAGGTGAAGTAACTTGTGCAAGTAGGTAGCAAAGCTGGGATTTGAACCTGAGTCTTGCGAAGCCTCACTCTTAACAATCAAATCATAGGGTTCCTCCAAGGCAGAGGCTGGAGTCTTCTTACCTTTGTACCTCCTGTAGTTCTTAAAACAAAGTCTTTTGCACAGAAAAGGAGCTAAACAAGTATTTGTTGAAATGCACTCTACATTATCTCTGTGTCTAAATAAAGACCCTCTAAACAAGTCCACTTCCCCAACACTGAGGTTTTCCCCTTCTTTGTAGCCATCCCGTTCTTCATGTTTTGTTTTCAAAAGGTTGATTTTGAACTAGAGGGACACTGCAGTTGTCTTGTCACTTAGCGTGATTTGAAAGTGAGAGTCTGTGTAGTGCTTTAGCCTGCCCTCAGCAATCAGGCCTCACACTCACAAGGCTCTGATTGTAGGAGTTGCCTTATTTGCATTGATGAGGATGAGCCAGCTGCTAGAGCATACAGAACTGCACCTGACACAATCACAGAGTGCAGGATTAGCACGGGGAATCAGGAATCCACTGAGCTGCGTGGCAATCTCAGCCCCACATTAGAGTCATTCATGCAAAATGACCCAAATTTGCAATGAGCACAATTAACAACCCAAAGATGCATGTTAATCTGGGGCCTGATATTTTTTTATAAATGAAATCTAATAAATATACTCTTTCCTAGAAGAATCTGGGCATGAAAACAAATGAAGAGGGTAAGGTGCTTTTTGAAAATGTGCAAACCCAATAAAGCACAGATTTCTTTGGGTAACTGGACCTTCCCTCTGCCCCCACTTCCAAGTTTGTCATCATACAGGGTACGAGCTTTGTGGTGGCATGGACCTTTTTGAGTCAATGGACAACAACTATATATAAGGATAAAAAAATCACAATAGCTATAACATGAAGAAAGGAAAAATTTACGCTTGAAAAACAACTTGATATTTTATATTATATATTAACATTTCTGATGCTATGTTTGGATTACATATAACAACAGTTATTTCAAGGTGTCCTAAAAGTACAAGAGATCATATGATTTTTCATTAAATAGAGTTTATAAATCAAATTGAGCATTCTCAAACCCTAGTCTGTGTTTCCATACATTTCCAGCCTATAGGTATTTAAATGTACACCTATGCTTTAGGGAAAAAAAACATTTTGCAAAAATTGAATAAATGATCATTCGAAGCAAAAGCATGCAGTTCAAAAGCTAAACCTCCCATTGGAGAACAGAAAATTTAATGAGCTTTTAATGGAATGCAATGCTCAGAGTAGTAAATTATTTGTTAGTTGACGATGCAATCAGCATGCTGATTAAGGTTGCTTGGTTTTTTACTAAACATTAACTGAATGAAAACGGGTAGTCCTTGTTCTGCTTGGGGGGCTTTAAGGAAGCAAATGGACTTTCAGAACAGAGATTGTCAATAAAGGTGAGTGCACTCCAGGTGTCATTTGAATATGATGATAAAATACTAGTGATAAATATTTAAAAGCATTTTAAATCCACAATGTTCGCCTAGTGTATTGTGGACTCTGTTTAAAGAAACCGTGGGCCTTAACAGGCCCAACAACAATCCCTCTCTCTCTAGAAAAAAATATCTAGATCTGCTTTCTTTTATTGCGAAAGAAAAGAAGGGGGGGCGGTGGGAATGCTTTGAAAATATGAACCAGCATGGACTCAGGGGCCATGAACTGCCTGGGAGTTTGGGACTTAAACCTAAAAAGAGAGCGAGAAAGAGGGAGAGAGAGAGAAGACACAGAGAGAAAGAGAGAGAGGAGAGGGAGAGAGAGAGAGAGAGAGAGAGAGAGAGAGAGAGAGGAAGGGAGGAAAAAAGGGACAAAAAAGCAAAACAAAGCAAAAAATATTTCTGCAGCAAATAAAAGATGACATCTGCTTCTCTGGATAAATTGAGATAAAAAATTAATTAAGTAGTTTAAATATTGTAGTGTTAAAAATAATTGCTATTGGAATATCTATATAATTTTAAATTTATAAATGATGTTATTCTGGGGGAAAGAAGCACAAGCACTGTAATATTGAGAGCTGTATTCTATCTAATTTAGTAAGTCTGAAGGGGAGTAAAAGAAACAACAAAGAAATGAAAATAAATTATACAATGCTCATTTTTTGTTGCTAGATTATTAATAGAGAATTTGTAAAAATATAATTTATTATATTTTAGTTGACATGTACATTGGTCACAAATTATTGCTTCTGAGAGAGTTTTTTTGTTATTAAATCTGTTTAAATGACTAGATTTATTTCTTCTCCAAATGAGGGGTTTTTGTTTGTTTTTCTCCCTACCAATTGAAGAATCGTGGGTTTGTAGGTTAATTTTCTTTGAACAGCTACAAAGTTCCTTTTCTATAAATCCCAATTAGTTTCATCATCGTTGATTCTCTGGCAATGATCAGGTACCCTTAAAATCCGATAAATAACTACCTCTCACTTTTAACTATTCCTGTTTATGACCCAAGAGGTTAAAAGCCTTTGACTGGCATTTGACTTCTGACCTCATATAAATGTTATCTTATCAGTTCCTGCTTGTTAACTTGTATTGAGTGCTTGTCCCTGATGGCTTTTAGATAAAGGGTTGTGGTTTTTTTTTCCTTTTTTTTTCTTTTTAATATATTTCCTGTAGGAACTAAACCATTTGCTTTGTTCTATCACTGGTGTACTCAAGTCTACCCAGTTAGATGCTATAAATCTGTTAGAAAGCTACCAATCTACCTTTATTTACTCCCTACATTATTTTAAATTTAGCTTTATAAGTACAATTTTATGATTTAAAAATCTGTTGATTATAATTAATGATAGTAATTACTAGTGACCTTAATCGGTTAGTATGTTTATAAAGAAGCTGGATAGCTCTATCTTTTCAGTTTTAAAAATACAAAAATTAAAACAAAAATTAGCTTTACATTCTGTACCAGCATGAGATGAGTTAGGGAGATAATTTATGGAAATCTTGTCTCCCCAGACTTCAGAAGGCTGCCTAATGAAAGAGTCATCAGTAAGATATATCTTAAAAAAAAAGAAAAAAAGGAAAAAAATCCAGACCATGAACAGTGCATTTTCTAACCTTTAGGGAGGAAGGTAGCCTAGTGCCGTCCTTTGCTCCTCTGAAGGAAGAATTTTAAAAGATTTGGGCCTTTTATTTCATTTGCAGCTCTGTGTTGTTCACACATTCAAGTATGTATGTGTGAGTGAATCTAGCCAATATGCACAAACCTAAATGCATTTGAAATCTCTCTCCATACTTCCATGGCATCATGAGGGTATTCTGGGCAGATGTTGGTGCCTCAGAGACTGCCTCATTTGCAAATGACCTACAATGTGATTGCTAAACAAAATATTATATTAATTTCTATGTGGAAAACAGCAGTGAGGAGGGGGAAGGGGAAGAGGCAGCCATCTTGGAGTCACTTTTCCTTTGAGCCTCATTTTTTCTTCTTCTCAGGCTCTGTAGTTAGAATATTATCTTTATTTTTAGTTGGTCTCCATATAAAGCAAGAGGCATATTCAAGAGACCTTGGTATTTGTGTTGCATGTACAAAAAATATTGTAACCTGTTTGGACTTTAAATAATAACTGTGACTATAGACAAACTACACCTATTATTCCCCATCCTTCTAAATAAATATACATATACATGAAGCATATGCCACCGCTTGTAAGGGACCTGTACAAAACCTATTAAGGGAAACAAATGTCTATTTGGACCATTCATTTACTGCTATGGAAAGAATTAATATGTCAGTAAAGTTATCTGCCCTTCCTCCTCCCCCATTCTTTCTTTTCTTCCCAAACATACACTCACACGCACGCACACAAACACATACATTCAGACACCTCCACTGTGGAGAAATGGCAACACTGGGAACTTTTTAAAAATAGGAATTCCCTTTCTCTTGGATCATAGGCATTTAGGAAAGAGTAGGGGGAAAAAAATAACCAGGTTTTGTTTTTTGTTTTTTGTTTTATCTTTCTGTGTGTGCAGAGCTGCTAAGTCCATGAAATGTCTCAATGCTGCTGTCATCATGCTCATATTCTGGCAACACACAGGTTTAATGCAATTTGTCCTAACTTTTCATTTCAACCATTGCTTTTCTCAAAGTACCCAGAGTTTAAAGACTTGGAAAGCAAAGGGAAAAGAAAAACCACGGCAGGGGGAAAAACAAACCAACCCCCAAACCGATGCTGGTATTCACTGCATTGACACATTCTCAAATGTTTTCTCTGTAGTTTTAGCACAAAAGCTCTTTCTCCCCTGTTTTGATGTGTTAAAGAAAGAGAAAGGACACTTCTAAGTAGTAAAAATAAGTATTTTGGAAAGCACAGGGCAAGTATTGCTCCTTCAAATGTCCAGCACATGTCAATAGCACAATCTACAGTTTGATATTACTTGATTTTTCTTAAAAATGGAAAGGGGATAGAGCCAACTTTCTATCTCACCCACCAAACTATCAGAATTATCAGAGTTGCTTTCTTTTTGTACAGTTGGAAGCACACCCAGAGCAATCATTCTGTCTCTGGAATAAGGAAGATGAGATTACAAAGTTCCTCTGAAAGGGGTGTGAGAGGATCAATAACAAATTATTGTCAACTTGTCATATTTTTACAGAAGAAACTACAAACATTTATCCCTTTAATATCTGTATCTGAACTAATTTTCTTTGGCAATATTTTTGAGGATTGTTTCATTGAAACAAAGATTGTAGTGACGAATACCAACCTGAACAGTCCTACTTTACTGGCCAAATCTTCTGAGTTAACTCCCAGAGTCCTTTACAGTTGTATTTTGTAGCCTAATTTTTTAAAGCAATATTTAAATGCATAGGCAAGGTGCATTCACAACTAGTGAAAGTTAAGCTACCATTAAGATATGTCTTAATGTATAGTCTTAAATTTTAGTATACCTCTAAGCATATGAAAGAGAAAAAAATAACATTTGCACCAGTTTCTATCTGTTTCAAAATGATCTTCCTCAAAGTATTTCTGATGTCATATTTTAAAATTATTATAGTTAAAAGACCAAGGGGATGAAGCAAGATCAAGGCCTTATTTTTTACTGCATAGCTACACACACACACACACACACACACACACACACACGTCCTTTAGGTTCCATAGTATTTATTTAAAATATTGCCTATGTGTTCATATGTTTATAAACTAAACCCAAAAATATAGTAAGAAATTTAATCCACTCAATTTTCCCTCCATACCTCAAAAATCAAAACTGGCTGTGTTTGGGAAAAGTAGAAGCTTCTCTGACATTATGGACCCTTTGGTGTTTTGTCAAAGGAGTTGAGACTGTAGAGTCAGAAATACCAAAAAATTTAAGCTCCTAATTATTGTTGCTATTCTTTTGTGAAGACAGGTGTAAATGGTTTCTGGTTTCCTTTGGTCTCTGTCCTGTCTCTCGTGATTTTTGTGTTTGAATAAATGGCCCTTGTCCCTTCTTGCCAGAATGCTGAATGAATTTGGTCATTCTCACTGGTATATTCTTTTTCCCACTCTCACCAGTTTGTTGGAGGTTTTGGAATAGGGGTAGTTTTCCTGACTTTAAAAGCTGTGTAATTTACACTCTATCTGTACATGCTCAAAAGTCACACACAAGATTATAACCCATGTTTGTATTCTTCTTATGGGAAAAAGAAAAACAAAATATTATCCTCAAGCATCTGATACCGGGCGTAGGTCCTGGACATCCCACCTCACCCTCTTCCTCTTGGCCTCATCTGCTCTGAAGAATGAACACATTCATCCCCAAAGTTGTTGCTTCAAAGTGACCAGTCAGATGTACCCTTGGACAGAGGGTCCATAAATCAGAGAAATGTTGGTGTGGTTGAAAGAGAAAGGTAGTCCAGCCTGAGGGAAGGCCCCGTAAATCTTCCCCAGAGCTTTGTTCCCGGTAGGGAGTGGGGGTGAGAGTTGGGGTAGCTAAGGGCTGTGGGCTGTTATTAATGCCCCAGCCCTCCTGCAGTGGGTGCTAACTTGTTGTTCATGAGAGCCGGCTACCACCCTTCCCAAACACCGGGCCGCTTGGAAAAGTCAAGCACGGCTGAGCCCTGATTTTCATTTAATAGTCAAAACCAAGATGCAGTTGGACTGCGATGATAGGACAGCTCCGTTGAAAAGATTATTTGAACTACAAAGGCATTCATTTAGGGCTAGCAATGTTGCAAAAGGGCCTGCTAGAAATTAGCAGCCTGTCCTGGTATTTGGAGAGCAAGAGTGACAACTTATTGGAAGTTCTCAAGGAATCATTTATATTTCACACTCCACTAGGCAGCTGATTTGAGATTGTCTGTTAGCATAACAAAGGCTCTGAGCCTGTGAACTTCAGAAACCTTTCGACCTCTTAGCTGCTGGCATGAATAGCCCCCAGTCCTGCCTATAGAGCTCTCCCAAAGCTCCCCTGTT